AATGGATTAAGTACTTTAATTGGACCCCCTTCCTGATTGACACTGCCATTGATGAATCTCTGCATCATTTGAAATACGTTGTCCAACCAGCGGGGTCACATAGAGGAAAAGCAGACTGGAAATGTCTCGCTGTCTAGATATTTATGTTGGAAAACTTACCTGGTTCCATCTGACTTTTAACCTGGGAGGTGGCTTCCACAGGTGGGTGGCAAAAAGGAGTTAGAAGAGAGGGTACTTTTCTCACAAACCTTTTGTAAGCCGCCTCCTGGTGACGTGATTTTGATGGCCCTCCTTTGGTACGAGACTGCCCTGGAGTAGGGCTTCCTGGGGTCGTGCGCCCATTTAACATTCCGGACCACTAGTCACAAGGTTGGAGTTTAAGTCCACTCGGACGTGCTTTGGAAGAAAGGCCTGGTGATCTGTTTCTGAAAGAAAGCAGGTTCTGACAATGCTACCACCGTTCTAGTCTGGCACACCAAGTCTCTGTGGGCTAGAATGGAGGGCAGCTACTTTACCTGGACTGTAGGGTGGAACTGGAAGTGCTGTGAATGTGGTATATCACCTTCCGTTGCACAGGAAGACCCCACCTCGTCCCACCCAGTAGATTATGGATAGAAGCCCTCATAGTACTGTGGTTTAAGTACTTGACAGCCATGTAAAAGGTGGGTGGTTCAAATCTACCAGTTGCTCCTCGGGGGTCGGGGAGATGCAGCAGTCTGCTTGGGTAAAGATTTATGACCTTGGAAGCCCTGTGGGGCAAGTCCACTTTGCCCTGCAGGGTGGCCACGTATCAGCATTGACCTGATGGCCCTCACCATCACCGACATGCTGTTGTGGGCTTGCTTAGCTTGCTGGCCCACACTTGTCTCTTGTTTCAAACATCTGTACGCGGTTGCCTTATCGAGTGTGTAAGCTGCCTCCTCTTCCTTCAGCCCTGCCCAGTCAAACGTTGAGACGAAGGCTGTGCTTTCTGCTCTGTTCAGGACATTAGCTAGATGCGCCTACGGAGCACTTTCATGGGGCTAGAGCTGGGGAGTCCCTGGGGAAGGACATCATGTGTGGTCAAGTAGAGGGGCAATGGAAAAAGGAAGACTCCACACGGTGGCTTCACACGGTGGCCACCACCATGGACTCAAGCATCAGAACAATTTGTGGGGGTGGCGCAGGACTGGGCAGTAGGGCCACTATGGGTCGGAACCAACTCGATGGCACCTAACAACAACAACAACAACAACAACAACAACAACAACAACGGAGGGGCTGGACTTTCAATTTGAATGTGAACAGGCTCGTGCATCCAGGAGCTACCTATTGCCCAGCACAGCCATAGGTAATCATCTCCCGGACCCTCCTGAATCTGCACTCTGGCCGGATTGAGCACACTCCTGTCCCCACACTCCTCACAATTAGACAGTAGCCACTGCTTCTTTGTGGGCCTCCTACACCCGGCTGTCGTTGACATGAGGCCAGGGGTGTGCCGGCTTTCTCTACAGTTCTTTGTATCCAACCACCCCCTCTGCCTATTCTTAGTATTCTTTGTATCCAACCACCCCCTCTGCCAGGACTTAGTAACATTTAGTAAATAAATGGTTGTCAAATGAATAAGTGAACTAACTCTACCTTTCATATTCTCTTTAGGCCCCAGAGCTGACAAAATAGCAAGTATTGCACATATATGTTTAGGGCTTGAGCAGATTTTATGTAGAAATAAACACATGGATGACTGGATGTATTCTTAAAGACCTATTTAGATTAGGTTTCTTTTAACTATGGTGGTATCTTCTAGATGCAGAGTTATGTTTAGTTGATCTTAGGGTTGGTTTATATCAGTTAAACCTCAAAAACAAAAGCAAAACCCAAACTCAATGCCAGCCAGTCAATGCTGACTCATAGTGACTCCCCCGCCCCCCTCCCGTGAGTATTCAAGACTGTAACTGTTTATGGGAGTAAAAAGCCCAATCTTTCTTCCCAGGATCTGCTGATGGTTTCAAACTGCCAACCATGCATAGCACAGCCTCACACGTAACCACCACACCACCAGGGCTCCAATATTTTCCGTTCCTATCAGTTAACCATAGTAGGCTCTGGAATGAAAAGTATGTGCTCAATGTAGATCAGTTCAGCTCTGTCTGACCAAGAACCCCCTCCTGACCCAGCTCCTCACGTTCAGAAACTGTTCTTAGAGATCTAAATCCTGAAAGTATACGAAAGGTTATGGGGATGGGTATTGGCTTTTTGTTTTCCTTTTTAGTGGGACAAAAGGCTGACTTGAGTTTTTCATGAAGGAAAAGGAATCGGACTAGGGAAAAGTGCAAGGGAGACACAAGACACCCCACGTGCTCACTCGATTGGTCAGGAAGCTTCCCTGGACTTCAGGTTTCTAACAGACGATGCAGTTGACTAGATGTTGTTAAATGCATCACCTTTCTAACTTGAATCTAGCACTCAGGTCTTTATGGATATGTGGAAGACGCTGTTGTTGTGGGAAGCGCGAGTTTTGTAAGTTGTATCTCGAAGCATCCTAACAGTTTTTAAGGAGATGCAAGGTGTTCTGAGGATAACTTTCAAAATTATTTTTGAAGAGGAAATTTTCTCTCTCTTTTGTGTTTGTGTTTTGAATGGTGGGTCATTTGTTGACTCCTTTTAACCAACTCAGAAAGGTAACTACTCAATCTTTTTGCTAAGAATTAAGTACAACAGGCAAGACTGAGTCCAGAAGTATGATCCTAAGCAGGCCAGTCTCCCCCAAACACAGCTTGAATGATATTGTGAAATATATTTGTGAAAAACCAGCAGTGCCTGTGATCATGGGGTTCAGAGGCTTGGTCTTGACTTGCTGTCTCAACTGCTCCTCAGTATATCCCTAAGAGGCTCTCATCTTCCTCCTGCTTACTGCTCCTCCTTACTGCCTCCTCCTTCTTACTGCTCCTTTCAGCCTACTGTTCCTTTACTGAGCTCTCCTTTCAACTTCAGCCCCAATTCCTGCCTACCCATATCAGAAGACCCACCTCACCGAGTCATTTCTGGTTCTCAGAAGGTCACACAGCCAATGCCACTGGGGCGTCTGCTTGGGAACATATCCCCCTTTGTCTCACTCTGCTGGTATTAGTATTATTGCAGTCATGTGGCAAGCAAACAAGCTTGGACTCATCTGTTACTCATTCTGGCAATCTCTGGAACGGTTAGAATAGTACTTTGTACACCGTGGTTCCCAACTTTTGTTTTCTTCCGTGACTTTACTGTGTGTGGAATATTTTGCGAAAATTCATCATCACCAGCAAGTGGAGGCCAGACAGAAGAAATTCCGACGTGGGGAGGGGCTGAGCAATTCACGGAGGGCTGCCTTGGTGGGATGTCCTACTTCTTGGGATTGGTAGAACGTGAGGAAGACTGCCACTGCCCTAGAGCACCAATTCCTGTTTCTGTCACCTTCATTCATTCACATTACTGCACACACACAAATATCAAAGTCATGCAAAGAAGTGGGTGGCAGGCAATTTGAGCATAAAAGGGAGCTTAACTACCTCTAACATAGTAACCCTCAAAAGCCGAACTCACTGCCCGAATTGATTCCAATTCATAGTGACTCTATAGGACAGGGTAGCGCTGGCCCCCGCGAGTTTCTGAGACTTTGCCTGTTTACAGAAGTAGAAAGCCCTGTCTTTCTCCAACCAAGGGTCCTTGTAGTGACACAGCTAGGTTGTTTGCCCTGTTCTCCACTTCATGTAAACACACGCCTTAGGAGACAAAGAAAGCTTTCCATTCTTTCGTAGGTCCAGCCTGTGTTGGGAACACATGACAAAGTGAAAAGCACTTAGTTCAGAGTCGTTCTTTCTTGCTAGATTAATTTATTACTAGATGAAGCTATCTGGTAACTGTTTCTACTCCCCAGGAAACGAGAGCATAGAATAGATTTGCTGTGGAATAAAATCTAAAAATAATATCCTGCTTATAGTTCAGAGCGGATAAGGGATTCACAAAGTGTCAGACTTTACAGATGGGGTACAACAGGAGCCAGAGGGTTTGTGGCTGCATAGCTGAGTTCGACTTAGTAGCATCTTCTCTGTGTTCTATGCCGTTTCTGAGATACAGGCTGGAGCCCAGCCTGGGCTTCATTGACAGCAAGCTTATTTTAACCCTATAACGCCGAGCGCGAAGTTTTCGTAACACGCACACACATATTTATTTATTTATAATATATATTGATAACTATGAAAGTAAAGAATAAAAACAAAAAAATTTTTTTTCCTAAAATTAAAAATTCAGGCCTTATAGGGCTAAGTGCTCATGATTTTGGGGGGGGAGGGAGAGAAATAGTTTAGGTGATTATACCTTAAAAGATATGGTCCCCCCCCTCTCCCCCGCCCCCGCCCCAGGGAGACAAATAACAGAAATGTGGGTGAAAGGAAACAGGGGACGGTGTAAAATATGGGTGAAAAAATACATGACCTCCTGCAAGTTCACTCGAATAAAAATAGCCTTGTACACTGTTCATTAGGGGGCGGGACCGTGGCAGTAAGCCCTTAGATCTGTAGGGGTGACTCGACCGATGTTCGAACAGCTCCCCCGGCTCTCCGAAAATGAGGGTATTCTAAACAGACTATTTTGTGAGACGAGCGGGTGGCATGAGGTATGGGCCGCCAGATGCTAGAACCTGTGTTGGCATCTGGGAGAAGTTAAAGACTTGGTGCAACAGGGGAAAATGTGCCTGGGGTTATTACTGGAAGTAAAAGGAACCTCACTCATTCAGATGCACTCAGCATTTTAAAAGTGGTTTGCTGTTATCGGGAAATGCGAAACGATAGCTTAGAAATCACAGTCGCCCCAATGTAAGTTTTCTTCCCCCCTTCCCCTCACGAGAGAGGGCCAGCTCGACATGGAACCCTATCTCAGTAGGTTAGATGACTCCGGTTGAAAGAGCAGCGGTTTTGTGACCGAAGGCAGTCATTCTAAGTTGCTACAAATAAGAGATCATGTTTCCCCTTCTTTGTTAAAGGTGGCTTTCTAGAAGATGACGATAGAGGACCGTCCAGATCTTTCACTAGGAGGAAATTCCCTGATCGGAAGATACCCGTTTCTGTTTCCAGCCCCTGACACACCGGTTACCTTTTCCATTTCTGCCGCACCAATGCCTTCCGACTGTGGTATGTGACGGAGCCGTTCCCTTCCGTGACCTCTGTAGCTTGCCTTCTGCATCAGCCCCTTTTGTGCACGCGGGCTTTTCCCTAAAGCCCCTCCCCATGGTTTCCTAAAATTGCTCAAGTTTTTCTCTTTGCAAAAAATACAATTGCTTAATTTGCTTTTTAGCCTCTTAAGCGAAACATTTATTTCTGCTGTCAGCGTTTTTATTATGTACAAAAACATTCATTTTAAGCACCCCAGAGGATTTAAAGGATTTTATTTATGGAATTCAATGGTGATTAGACATCTAGCATTCTTCTGCAATGGATGTATTTATTTTGGCTAAATATACTGACTTGCTAAACAAGCTGTGTGGGTAAGCAGAGGAGGGGAAGAGCCCTTGCTCTAGGCTGGGGAGTGGGGCAGCCTCGCAGCTTCTCCTTGAAGGCTCCTCCGGAGGACACTCACCTGGGCAGTGCTCCAGCTTGCTTCCATTGACACCTCTTTCCCTGGGGTTGGCAAAACAAAAGAAAACCAGGAGATAACATTTGATATAATTGCTATGCGCATTTCTAACTCAGCTGAGAGTTTTTCAAATAAAACAGTGGGGTACCATTTCAAACCCTTTTCGGAGATAATGCACATTTTAAGTATTAGTAGGCATAAAATTATTGAATCGACAATTTATGTTTTTAATCTTGGCCAGCCTAGTAACTTCTCATCTCCAAGTAACCTATTTGTGTGTGCGCGCGCACGTGTGCATGTATGCACACACATGCTTAGATTCTATAGTAGCAAACCTTGAAATCATCCAAATTTATACAACATTTACATCTTGGAGGAGTTATTTTCAGTTTTGTTATAAAATTGATTTGATTTTCAGATATATCCAGTTATGTCGGAAAAACCTTGAACTAAGCCCATTGTATTGCCTGTGGTACTGATTTCTCTCTGCCAGGACTCATAATCGTCTTTTCTCCTAGACTAGAGCTTTTGGGGATGGAGTCCAAATCCTGCTTTGTTTTTATCCCAGGCAGGCTAATACAGTCATTTATTGATTTTTGTTTGCCCAGTTAAAGTTTCTTTGAATAAATAGCATCAAGTGAGATGTGATAATGGACCTCTATCCCTTAGTATAAAAGCAGTGAAACCTTACTGTAGTCTTAGAATTCTAGCTTCTTTGAGAATTGGAATGGATCTGTGGTTCAACTTTCCTACTACTATCCCAGTATAGCAATTCTGTTTTCAGGATTTCAGATAGATAAGCATTTAGTCTCTGAGATATCAGTAATGGGAAGCTAATGAAGTAGTATATTTCATTGTTAATAAGCTTTAGTTGTAAATATATGTATATATTTCCATGTACATGTAATATTTAATATTTATATATACTCAAAAATAGCTCCCTGAAACTTCTTTGAAATAAGAGGGGGTACCCCCACAAAACTGTATTTGCACTGGTTGGAGTGGAGCTTTTTTGTAGGGCACATTTTTCCCATTAGGCAAGTAGTGAGCAACTTGCTCTAAGTTAGTGCACACAGTGGCGTCATCTGGGACGCCACACTGAATTTGGTTACATTGAATTTTTGGTCACATTGAATTTTTTCATAAAAGCAGTTTGCTTGAATCTTGTTTTTTGTTATGGTTGATTTAAGGGAACAGCGTGCTGTGGAATTTTGTCTCCTGCTTGGGAAAAATGTTGCAGAAACTGTTGTGATGTTGAACACAACTTACAAGGACAGCCCTATGGGAAAAACTCAAGTGTATGAGTGGTTTTCTCATTTCAAAAATGGTGAAATGTCGATTGATGACAAACCTTGTTCTGGATGTCTTTCAACTTCCAGAATGGACGAAAATGTTGCCTCGCAGTGCATTTGGAGTTTGTTCTACTAGGTCAGACTGTTAATCAAGATTTCTATTTAGAAGTTCTGAAAAAATTGTGTAACAGTGTGTGACATAAAAAGACCTGATTTGTGGCAGACGGGGACTTTTTTTGCCACCACGACAACGCACCTGCTCACGTAGCCATCTCAGTGCACCATTTTTTTTCCCCCAAAACAGCGTGCCTCTTTTGCCCCACATACATTACTCATCTGACCTTGCTCTGTGAGACTTCTTTTTAGTTTTTGGGAATGCAGAGAGACATGAAAGGACATTGATTTGACATAGAAGAGGTGAAGAAAAAAATGAGGGAGGTGCTGCCAGCCATAAAAACAGATGAGTTTGAAAATGTTCCCAAGAATGGAATAGCAGATTTGACAAATATATTAAGTATAATGGAGAGTAGTGTGAAGGTGATAAGATTGTTTTGTAAAAAAATTTAAACACATAGCTTTGGAAAAATTAAAATTAAAAATTCAATTTTGAGAGGGTACCACCTCATATGATGGCTTTCAACTATTTTCAGGCCATCTGTGGTAGTAACATATCTGGTGTCAATTTGAGAGGATACAAGTAAAGAGGTGGAGTCTGGTCTGTCAATCAAGATATAACCAATGAGGCCTCTGTGTGGGCATGGCCTTTTCCTGAGAATTCTGGGAACTCCTGTATTTCCTCCTTGGGGGCAGGAGACACCTCTCTCTCTGCTCACTCCCTTGGAGACTCTACTGATAAGACACATGGCACTACGCTGATAGACCCCATGCCTTGGGAACTAGAGGAGACACATGGAGACCCCTGCCAGTGCTGAGATGCTTCTACCACCACTGGATCCACAAGACTTCCCACTCACTGACCTGTAATCTTCCTGCATTTGGCATCATTGCATGTGCTCCATGAGTCAGAAGAAGACTTTATACCAGTGGATCTCAACCTGTGGATCACAACCCCTTTGGGGATCGAACGACCCTTTCACAGGGGTTGCCCTATTCATAACAGTAGCAAAACTACAGTTATGAAGTGAAGTAGCAACGATAATAATTTTATGGTTGGGGGATCATCACAGCATGAGGAACTGTATTAAAGGGTCACAGCACTAGGAAGGTTGAGAACCACTGCTTTATAGATTAGTATTGGACACATGGGCTAATATCAGTCTTAGGGACTTGATCTGGACTGGGGTGGGATGTTTTCTCAATATTCAACTGCTCTTGTATATAAACCTCTTTCTTATACACATTTGTGTCTCTGAATTAGCTTCGCTAGTCCACCTGGACTAACACACCATCGAGTATTGGTACTGAGTATGTATGTCCTTTGACTCCAAATTCCTAGCCCTTCACTGGCTCCTAATTGTTGGGATTCCTAGGCCCTTACGCCCCTCACCACCCCCAGTCGTTTTCCTCTCAGTTTGTACCCTGTAGCTTATCACCGGCCTCACAAGGAAGCAGTGCATAGAATTGTACTCAAGGAGCAAGTTTTTCTGGAGGGTGTATTAAATGGTAGGTGGGTGATCCTAGATACCACCATGGCCATAACACATTCTAGTAGAGAAGCTAGACCATAAGCAAATGCATAAAACAAAGCCCTTTTAGGTTCTAGTGAGGAGACAGAGAACCATGGTCTGTGGTAAAGAATAACAGCAGCGAGCTGCCACTGTAGGTGGTGTGGCCACTCCAAGAATAAAGACACAGAGTTGGGACACACCAACGTGTGTCGATGGAAGGCCACTGTCGCTGAGCAGCAACAAAAGGGGAGTTGGGGGCTTGGAGGGAGTGGACCAGAGGGGGTAGGACGGGACATTGGAGATGAAGGCAGAGGCCAGATCCTGCAGCTCTTGTCGGCCTTGGTCAGGAATTTGCAGTTTATCAATGTGTGATGAGAAGCCATTGAATGTGAGGCCAACCCACGGGACTACACCTGAGCAACAAGGAAGGCAAATCCATCCAAACACACCCATACTAGAGTTTACGGATTGACGCTCACGGCAGTGACCGCCAGAGCGTCTCTGTGAACGTGATGGGGACATGTATTCCAGCGAGTGAATTGAACAGCAGCGACGACGACAACTTCAGCTACTGGCTGTTTTTAAGCGCCACACCCCACAGTCTGTCGGAAAGAAGCGATGCAAGGTGTCCCTCCAAGTTGAGTGTCTCCTCTTTCACGGTTTCTCCCCGTGCAGTTGCAGGCACTTCGTCGTGTACGAGTTTGAGAGCCTCTCAGTCTAGCTTTAGTTTTGTTTCCGGTTCTCCTGGATGACTGCTGTGCTTTCTGGACACCCCCTGGGCTGTGTCCCTCCTTTCATATTTAAGTTGAGCTGATTCTCTAAGGAAGAGCTGTGTGCACTTGGGGTTGCCGTCCCGTGGGAGTGCAAGCAGTCAGTGCATTTGACTGCTGACTGAATGCCGGTGGTTTTGGTCTGCCTTGAGGCACCTTGGAAGAATGGCCCGACAAACCAGCCATGGGAAAACCTTCCAGAACTCCGCTCCACTCCGACTGATGCACACAGGGGACCCATGAGTTGAGATCAACTTGATGACAACTTTTTCTGTTGCTTCGTAGTTGTAACATGATATTGGATAGGATGTAAAAGCACAGTGAAGAGAGCAAAGCGCGTGACTCCCGCCGCACTGGCGTTCTGTGATCGGTAGTGCTTTTCCTGGGGAGGCAGCCGCACCAAGGAAAGAAGAGTCGGTCCCAAATTTACCATTTACCAGCTGCGTGAAGTAGAGCAAATTAGGCAGCCTGCTTTTTGGTTCCCTCGCCTGCAAAATACAAGGAATAACACCTGCCAAGCCAGGTGTTGGTGAGGCTCTGGCACTCACTTGGCACATTGTCAATGCTCGGCCGCTGTCAGTGCGCTGGTGCTTCCCCTCCTGGGTTGCTCCTGATTTTGGAAATCCCCTACCTTTCAACGAATCTGACTCTCTTCTCTTACAATATTTTATCTACTTCAGGAGCCATTCACTTCTATTCTTATTCCACGGGGAATATCTAGCTTTTATCCAAATCTCAGGTACTTAAAAAAAATATCTGGATCCCATGTTCCAATTTGTCTAATAGCCCGTGATTTTACTAATTACGTTTCCAGAGCAACCCGTTCACTTTGTCGCACAGTTTCTTTCAGCCTTCCCTGTCAGATTTTACTTCCTTATTGGTCGGAAAAGCAATTCCCTGCGTACTTCCCCAGGGGGGCAGAGGTGGGTGGTGGGTGGGGGGAAGTAATACATTTTTAAAGACGCAAATGTAGTATGTATCAAAATTGTATGAAAATTTTATATGCTTTATATAAATTATATAAAAAGCATGGCTTCTAATAAAAACGTAATAAAGAGATTTATTATAGGAAGCCAGGAAAGCACAGCAAAAGTAAAAGTATCTGAAGTACCTGTGCACTGTTCGTGTACCGGAATGATGTCTTTCCTACTTTGAGGTAGATTTTAAGAATTTCAGGCTCATTATATATCTGTTTTGAGAGTCAAAATTATTAATAAAAATTGATAAGTTTTCTGTGCCCTAAAAATGATGATTGGGGAGTTCAGGGGTTGAGATCTGTCTGCTCACACACATTTTGTTTCATCTAAAATGAAGCGTGGTTTGATACATGAAAATCTCATTCTCACACTTTTTCTGGCCATCTTGACTTTGGCCTTGAGACTTGCTTAAGATAAACCAACTTTTTTTCCCCCTAGCAACCCACAATAATTTGTATCATTTAGGTCTTCATCTTCTTGCTTCTTGCGTTCCGTATGTTTACTTGATGCTTTTAACACATTGACACGATACCTCTTTATTTCAGAGTTTTCTTTCTTCGATCCTAATGAGACATCATGCCAGGAGATTCTCTTTGACCCCAAGACGTCGGTATCAGAGTTATTTGCCATTTTAAGACAGTGGGTCCCTCAGGTCCAGCAGAACATCGACATTATTGGCAATGAGGTAAGGACTCTTAACTTTGAGGCTGTGCATCGTCAGAGTTGTCAGTGGTCCAGAGCCTGAATGGAAGGGAGGCGACGGAAGACAAGCCCCTTGAAAGGCCCGGAGACCCTCCCTGTATCTTTCCAGGCTTTCCTTGGGCAGTGAGTTGGTGCAGCACATTTCTTTGTTTTTCTCCTAGCACACCGTGCTTTCTTCGATTATACTCTTGGTGGAAGCAGGAGAGGCAATTTTCTTTGTAAAATTAACTTTGCAATGAATTTTTGATCCGCTTCATAAGGTATCTGATTACCATCATGCTTTATTTAAACATGTGGGTGCTTTGGTAAAGATGTAGGCTTAAAAGTAATTTTAAAATCTTTATATATAAAAGTGCGTGTGTGTATATATATATTTATATATATGATTTTTTTGGAAGGGCAACAAAAAAATAGCGTTCTCTCCGTAGTGTGTTTTGTAGGAATTGGTGGCTTATTCTGTTTGCAAGTACCGTTTGCAGAACAATGATTTGGGGGTACTGTCCAATCTTCTTGTCTAACTTCACTAAGGGGGAGAGAGAATCAACAGCAACATCAGGCTAAGGTGGATTTCTATGGAGGCCAGACATATTTCCTCTTTCCAACCACCTTACTCATTTTGGCACCAGGTCCCCTCCCCTAGCACTCTCTACTACGCTGACTTTGATACTTCATTACAACATCCACACACAACTCATAGACCATACGCAGTTATTGGGCGTATTAGGAAAGTAGCATTACAATTTAGGATCCGGAACGACCCAGGATACAGTTCTTCCATCAAGGCAGGCCTCTCTCAGGTTGTCCTCAGGGAAGGCCCTACTTGGACAGGATTTTCAGAAGTCTTGAACTCCCCCAAAACGTGCCTGGGAACACCCCGCTCTGCCCGTACGCCTTGACCCACAGTCACTCAGCTCTCTCGTTCTGTGGCTCAGCTCATCCACTGTGGACACCTTGCTGTGTGGGACCTGTGCCGGGCAGCACACTGTGACATCTGGTGTCAGACTCCTGATTCTACTGCCACTGTTTCTCGGCTGCAGCTTCTTGCTGTCTTGTATCATTTCTGATGCGACAGAGAACATGCTCTGTCTGCTGGGCATGGCTCCCAGCACAGGGACCCTGAGTCCTAAGGATGCGTTTGACTCTCTTCTTGGTGGCAGTGAGATCTTTCAGCCTCTGAGATGACTCATTGAATGCCCATGTACTTCTACCAGGAGGCCCTGCATCCTGCCTACCTTATTAGCAATCTGACCAGTCCTCGTCCTTGGCCACCGTCTCTTATTTACACAGTGCCTCCCAAGCATTACACGGGGAGTTACAAAACTGGGCATGGCAAAAGGGGCCACAGGGAGTAATTCACTGCTTGGTGCCATCACACCCACTGGAAAGACAATGTTGCTTGTTCTTTGAGAAGGTTATGAGACAAACTTGACCAGTCAGGATTGCCTTGAAGTACTCTTTAAAAATGTCCTCCTGTCAGGCGGTGAGTGAAGTGGTGACTTGCTGCTGAGTGCAGGGCTGACATCTACCCCCAGGAGACACTAGTTCTAGCTGTACGCTTTACCCAGAACTGATACGGATTCGATGGACTAAGCTTGTTTCTCAACATCGATTGGAAACCAATCAGCACGTCAGCACCCACGTCCTTTTTCTTTCTTTCCCTTCCTCAGATTCTTAAGAGAGGCTGCAATGTGAACGACAGAGATGGGTTGACGGATATGACCCTTTTGCACTATACCTGCAAATCGGGAGCTCATGGTGTTGGTACGTACTGGCTACTCCTATTCATTGTTTAGGAAAATCTGTATGCATGTCATTCCAGAGAGCTGTGGTTCCCTTTCCTCAAGTCCCCGGGAGAGCACCCAGCTGCTGCTGCTAGCACGTGACTAGACGAACATTCAGGGGAGTCCCTCTGAACACCTTGTTCCCTTCCCTACCTTTCATGGGGGATCTTTTTACCTTCTTGGCACCTCCAGCTGTTTTGGAACAGACTGTGTGCTTGTTTGCAGATGAGGTAACACCCTAGAACTTTCCTGAAGGTTAACAGCAAGGATATGGCAGTCTCTCATTCCTTAACAGGCACTGGCCTTCCACTTGAG